AGGTTAGTTTGTAGTAGGTCGTGTATTATTATTATTATTATTATTATTATTATTATTATTATTATTATTATATATATATATATATATATATTTGGTTTTAAATTTTTAATTTAAAAAAAATAAAAATAAAAAGATTGATGTTGTGATGCTTATGTGACTCGATCAAATCAAGCTAAGTCGAACCAAATAGCGATATTGGTTTAGAAACATATCTTCACACTTTCGATATATTTAATGTGAGCGTTAATCGCTACGAGTAAAAATCCACCAATTAATTTGTGCATAAATATTTCTTATTCCTTCCCGATTAAAAAAAAATTGATAGAACTATATATTTAAACGTATAAATTATTTGCGAAGAGTTTCATACAACCACAATAGAATCTAGTTTTTAATTGGCATATGTATAACGTAGCTGTGTCATTTTGCCATAAATTTTGCTTCCCGTTCACAACATAGAAGATGTTGTAACATTAGTGCTTATTTGGCATGCATGCAACATAATTAATTGTCCTATCTACTGTATCTTTAGATAATCACTTCCAAGATATGCTAGTGATCTTTTGCATTAAATGTTAGTACATTTTAAGTATGAGAAATATTTTCCTACCAAAGCCATTGTGCAGGTTTTGTTACATCAACAAGGTGTATATGGGCCTGCAAAGGGCTTATATGGGTCATGGTGGCCCATTATGAACTGGGGGTCAATCCAATGATAGATTCTCTTGGTCTGGTCTGGTCTGGTCTGTGCAGCTGTAAAAGCTGTGAGGGTGAGTTCACGGCTTTGTCTTTTTAGTCGAGCAGTGATGCTGTGAGTGCGCACAGCATGCATGCCTCCTTTTTCCTGTACACAGTCCCTTTCGACACCAGCCATTACACATGCTTTCTGTTCGCTCTCTTCTGCTCTCAACACCTTATTTTCTTGAGGTTTTTTTATGGCACAAAAAGAAGTCACCTTCCATGCATTTCAGCTCTTCAAGACACCTCGAAAAGATCTCTAAAAGAAATCCTTCCACTACATTTATATAGATGGTTGGAGTTTCTTGATTAATGAGCTCAGTTCATTGAGTTGTCTTTCGGGAAATTTAGATTCTTCAAAGGATCCCTTAAGACATCTATCGATGGGAAATTAAAATTTATTTATACAAATTATCAATTTATCGGATTCATTTGATGCACTATGATGTCTTCGCTGCTCTGAGTTCTGCCACTGCGTGATTCAGTGGAATCAGACGTGCAGTCTTCGTCTGCATGAGGAAGACTGTTGTGTTCAGGTTACAGTGACCGAACTAATTGTGCGCCAAAGCCATCCTCTTATGCGTTCTTCTGTTGCAGTCAAAGCTGCGCCTGTTTGTGGACAGGAGGACTTGTTCTTCGCTAATCCTTATCGGGGTTGGAAATGTAGTATGTGGCCGACTTCATTGTCGACAATAAAGCGAATATGATCACTGAGTTTTAAAGTATTTGAGATCTGACGGTGATGTTTCTCATACACGAACAGCAGAACTGTGGCCCAGTCAAGTCAAAGGCACTTTGTGCTTGTGCTATCTCTAAGTTGACATGAGATTCTTGGGTTGGAGCTTGGAAGATGTTCTTCTCATGGAATCTAGTTATCATCTTGTGCATTAATTCGAACAAGATAAGATCCTTGGATTGAGGTATGAGTTTCCACCATTCATGTCAAGTTGCATAAACATTGTTTTGGGTTTGAATTCGATTCGATTGATCCCTTCTTTCTGCATCACACCAACAAACCATACGATTGCCAAAGAACTTTGTTCATCTCTGTCTGCCATTAAACTACAGTGGCGTGAGACACTTGAAGACTGTGAATCTGACATCGAACTCAATGCTGGTTTGTGAGAGGGCACATGTTTTGTTTGTACAAGCAACCTTTTGCACACAGTCATCAGCTACGAACGGAACATTTCTACCTCTATCTGCTGTAAATGAAGGCCCTGATGTGGGTAAGCATCTCGGTGGTGCGTGCGTGGGACATATGGTAGTTATGGAGGACTTGGAAGGCATGCCCGACTCCGGCGTAGGTCGCCTGTTCCACGCTCTTGCCTGCGCTCCTCATGGCTTTGCAGAACTCCATGTTCCTGTCCCGCAGGATGTCCAACTCCGAGATGCAGACGAGCGCAGGAGGAAGCCTCAGGTCCTCCAGCTTGGGGGAGCCCTTGGCCAGGGGGTTGCACCAGGGGTGGTCACGATCGGCGCCCGGCGGCAGCGCCAACCTCCAGTAGCAGTCCGAGGTGGTCAAGCTGAGCGCCGATCTGGAGGACTGCACCAGGTTCTTCTCCGACGAGGTCCGAGCCACGCCGCCGAAGAAAGGCTGGATCAGGACCATTCCCCTGAGGCAGGCGGGCTTGAGCAGGGCTGATTCGGGGACGCCGAACGACCCCAGCTGCGCGGCCACGTTGTAGGCTATGGCCGCGCCGGCGCTGTCGCCGCCGAGGAACACCCGGGCGAAGTCGCAGTGGGCGAGCCACCAGCCGGGCTCGTCCGCAGCTCGATGGCTCATCTGCTGCCTCACCCACCTCACCGCGGCCAGGCCGTCCTCGTAGGCCACGGGCAGGCGGTGCTCGGGGGCGAGGCGGTAGTTCACCGACAGGACGACGCAGGGCGCCTGCGACGCCACGCGGGCCAAGAACTCGTGGTAGCATCTCCACGCGGCGGAGCCGACGCAGAACCCGCCGCCATGAAAGTAGACGAGCAAGGGCAGCTTCTGGGTCTGAACCCTGGGCACGTACAGCCGGGCCCAGAGGCCGCCATGGCCGACGGCCACGTCCTTGCTAGCGACGTCCGGTTCGGGAGCCCACGTGCATGGGACATCGACGACGGCCGGCAGGCGCTCGACATGGCCGTCCTTGCAGACCTTGATGAGCCCCTGGATCTCTTCGATCACCGGGCCATGGTCCTTGCTCGGCTGGAAGCTGCTCCTCGACTCACTCAGCTGGGGAAGGGCCCCCATCTTCCTCCTCCTCATAAAAGGGCACAGGAAGCTACAAAGGGAAGGAGGGAAGGGATGTCTGTCGCTCTGTCTGCCAAAACTTCCTAATCCGATCTCCACTTCGGTGGCCTTCTTATACTGTGAGGAGCAAAGACGATTAGTTTTCTCTCTCTCCCCCACTGTGGTCAGCGACGAGAGGGAATGTTCCTGCTAAGTGCAAGCAAGGGGTGGCCATTCCTCACCCTTCGTGTGACAAGTGGGTGCTTCCGAGTCTGCATCATTTCTTTTGCAGCATGGCAAATGATGCATCTGAAAGGGCGATGAATGCTTTGTTTGGAGACACTCCCAAAAGTCCTGAGAGGGCTTAGTCATCTACCAATACAGGGCGGCAAGTGGGAGTGGGTGGGGTGGGGTGGTGGTGGCAGTCCAAATGGCTGCGCCCACCCAATGCCTTGTTCTTGTGGCGAAGAGTTATGCCCTCTGGCCTACCAAAAATGCCTAAAGGAGGACTCAACCCATCAATTACCCCTCTCTGTGGAGGAAAACAAATGCTATGTTAATGGCCTAACGTGGCGTTGACGTCTCCCTAACTTCTCACCCCTGACGACCACTCATTACATCAAAAGAAATACTAACAAGTAAATGAAAAAAAAATACTAATTAAGATTTTATTTTATTTTATTTTTTACCACATGATGACGGTGCTCTTTCATCTTAAATTTGTATCTCCTACTAGTCTGTTGATGCTCTAATTATTGATTTTTTACTACATGATAATGATGGTGCTCTTTCATCTTAAATTTGTATCTCCTAATCTGTTGATGTCCTAAAAATCAATGACAAACATTGATTTTTTTATTTAATAAATTATTTTTGTTAAGTGAAAAAGATATGTTATTCGACAATATCACAACGATTAATAAAATACATAATACTTGATATTTAACATCAGAATATCTCTTGACGGTGTTTGTTCAGGAGAGTCATCACATATTTTGGACGACAACGACATAAAAATAACCCCTACTTATTAAATAATATTTTGAGGGCATGATATAGCATGATTATGATTTTTCTAATAATCTAAGAACTTAGTCCACTAATATATATACAATACGTTAAATCCAACAAGAATAATATATATTAGTTTAATATAAATTACATTGCTCGTGAGAAACGTGTGCCGATCACCTTTGCGTGTCATAATAGAACCTTAAATCTACATGAAAGCTCCACTTTTTCACCGTCTTCCCTTCGCTCCACTCGTTTGCAAGTCGGATCTTTTGGCCCCCTTTCGCTACATGTTTCACATTAAGTGTGTTGAGTTCAAGAAGAAGAAGAAGCCAATGGGTCAATCTCTCACCATTTCTTCCTCCAAACTGTAGTCAATGACAAGGACAAGGTCATGGGTGAACTGAGCCAGAGAGAAGAAGCGTCGTGAAGGCCACCATTGGTGACTCCTTGACGTATGCTGCAGTACACACGACTTGGACTTGCACTGATTATGAATCCTACGTGGGAAATGACTAACATCACATGGTGTTTTTTTTCTTTTTTTGTGTGCTTCGATATATATATATATATATATATAATAATAATAATAATAATAATAATAATATAATTAAGGGCTTTCGCCGTGCTCATTTTTAAAATAGCCCCGTCCCTCCACCAGTATCGTCGCCACCACCCCCACCCTCGACTGCCATCATCTCCGTAGCCGCTGCTCCCACCACGAGCGGCGCCACACTCTCCTCCTCCCTCGTCGCCCACGCTACCTCCGCATCTGGTGTCCTCGCAGCTTGTGGCAAGCACCCTCATCGGGTCCCCCCCCCCCTCCCTCTCCGAGGGGGGAGCGGGGCCAAAGGGCTCCAATCTTCGATCGTGAGGAAGAGGGAGCGGCGACCGCGGTGACTGCGGCCTTGCTGGGGGAGGCGAGCGACGAGGACGCCGGTGGTGGAGGCAACACAGGCGACTGGGGAAGAGGGGGAAAGGAGGAGGAGAAAGGAAACAGGAGGGGAAGGGGAATGGGAAGGGAGGAGAGGGCGGCACTGCTCGCGGTGGGGGGAGAAAGAGGGCGACGGAGCCCTAAAATCACCTAAAAACTGTAACAAACAAATGAAATCACTTTTTATATCATATTTATATACTATATAAAATGATTAAAATTAGTCAGATAAATCTTACAGTAATACGCTCATAAATGAATTATGCTGCATTTGGTGATAAAATCAACCTAAGAACGTGCCAAAATTCGACTTAAGAACCTCTAAAATTATATAAAATATAGAAAAAAAAACATTAATGAACTCACTACATATGTATATTATATTTATATATTATGTTAAAAGATTGATATTATTACACTCATAAATGAACTCCATTAGATTCGAATACAAAATTAAAATAAAAGTAAATCACACTATTAAAGAAAGCTTTAAGATTGTTGCAAGAAACTTGCAGGTGATGATGTGGTCCAAGGTGATATTAAGTGGGAGCTAAATCATTATGAAGGCATCTAATTAACATAGCATCAGATCATGCCAACTCTGCCTATTGATTAGCCATGATGAGACTAGTGATCATTCTTCGCCTAATCTCTCTCTCTCTCTCTCTCTCTCTCTCTCTCTCTCTCTCTCTCTCTCTCTCTCTCTCTCTCTCT